TAAAGTAAGATTAACTTTATTTAAGCTGTACTTAAATGTGAGATGGGCTGAAGTAACTCCTAAAGGACGTTTCTAGCTCAATAATTTTTTAACTGTCAGTGTAACATAACGTGTAAGAGTGGACTCTGGAGCTGGACTGCTGGGCTGCAGATCCCAGCTCTACAACGTCTCAGTTGTGGGACCTTGGCCAAGTTAATCTATTTATTATCTCTGTGCCTCGGTTTTCTGCTTTACAAAATGACCTCATAAGTTATAGCCTCATAAATTTGATATGAAGACTAAATGAGCAAATAACTTAAAAAGCTAACAGATGGTAAGCTTAGATATGATTGCTAAAATGTAAAATGCCCTCCATACTAAGGAGCTAGTTTTAACATGGGAAATTGTATTCTCATAAACTTAGAAGGTAGAAAGTTCTACTAAGATAAAATGTCTCTTAAATTAGGATATTATTTCTGGTGAGATATATATTCCACCCTAAAAGATTTTAAGAGAAGTTTAAATGTTTTTCTATAATCAATCATCCTTTACTCTTTTGATGTATGTGTATATATGTATACACACACACACATCATTATCATAATATGGTCATAATGTGAGTCTTAGTATTTTTTTTTTTTTCAAGGCAAGCATGAAAAGAAGTTTATTGAGGAAGGACAAGATAGGTTTACAGAGCAAGAGCAAGATATAGGTTTACAGGGTAAAAGCCAGATACATTCATCACAGAATGACGAATGGACCGCTCTGTCGTAACAAAAGGATCAAGTCTTAGTCTAACCTGTGATGATAAGGAAAGAAGTGATATCATGGTAGTGCCTTAAAATCACTAAGATTAGTTGATGTGGTACCCAAATAGTCTGCTCACTGGTATTAATATTTAATAAGGAAATAAGAGGATTTGACACTATGCTTATTTATATGAAATAGTGTAAGTAAAACAAAAGCTTTCCTCTTTGTAAAAATTATTTATTAGTCTTCGACATCTGTAGATAAAGCTGGTAGGCCAAGTTACTGCTTTGGTAACAACAGATTTATCTCTAGTAGTACAGCATTCTGGAGTCTAGAGGGGAAGAGCGATGCTGTCTTTCTGTTCAGATTACTGTTCACGAGTGTTTTTCAGAAGAAATATTCCACTGTTGAAATATCTCATACTGAAGAGTATTGCCTAAGGGAAGTGCTAGGATTGGTTTTTTTTTAATAAAGTCTGCAAATACTGATAAAAGGGTAGACCTTACAGTACCACTGGTATGGCAGAATTCCAATTTAAAAGTAGGAAGAAAACATTCCACCACATCCCTATAGTTCCATGTTCTGATAAAGGGCTATTGACTTTTTAAAAATATATTTAAAACATTTCATTTTTATAAGGTTATTTTAATGGAAAAAAACCCTTTTTCTCCCTATTACCTTTTATTTCACAGGCTTTCTTTTGCCCTTTTTAAAGCTGGTATTAAGGTGGATATTTAACTATGGTATTGTTTTTAGTGTTTATATCAGAATCTAGAGCCACTTAATTGTTCATAGGGGATTAACTTAGTTTATCTGTTTTATAGATTGCATCTTGCCATTTGTAAACTGAAGAAAATATTTATCATTTTCTGCTTGAAATAAGAATTCTGACACATTTGTTGACTTTAGAATGTGTTGATAGACTCTATGTGTATTGGTTTATTATTATATCTTTATATAATAAATACAAATAAGTTAAAAATTAAATGTGTAATTTTCACATTCATAATTTAAAATATTTTACAAGTAAAAATTCTTTCTAATGCTGGATACTTAGACTCTATTTTGAAGACTTTTTTCTCTATTTGAGTGCTAATATACAAAATATTTTGATTTCTTGTTTATAGTAATCCATTTTGTTTTGTAAAATACCTTTGTATAAACTTGTTACAAATGGAAGGGTTCCTGGTCCAGAGATACCAATATACATTCAGTAATGTATCCTGCCACAGTTAAAATAAATTGGCTTCATAAGAGCTTATGCTATTTCTAAATTTCTCTGGGTACTTGATAAATGAACACAAAGATTTGTCAGGTCGTTTGTCAGTGTCAAGATGACCTGTTAGGTATTTAGACTTATCAAATCTAAATGTAGCCTATTTTAAAATCTAATCAACATAAAATCTTTTATAATTTTTTCTCTTTGTTGTATGAATAGAGAATAGCATATAAGAAACTAATGTTATAGCTGTGGCTCTTATTGTAGAACAAGTACTTCTGGATCAAAATTCTCAAACTCCTCCTCCAAGCCCTTTCTCAGTGCAAGCTTTTAATAAAGGGGCAAGTTGCAGTGCCCAAGGATTTGATTATGGACTTGGAAACAATAAAGGTAGGTGTTTAAAAGTAAGTCTTTTACTTACCTAATGTCAGTATTTTTATTACCTTCTCTTTCATCCATTTTTATTCCTGTTCACCAAGAAATCTTTATTAAATTAAAATTTGTTGCTAGGAAACTAACACTCAAAATGTTTAAAAGGTGTTCTTTTTGCAGTATTTTTACCAGTTTTAGCTTAAATTTATGGAAGTTCTTGCTTATTGTTTTTCTATTTTTAAAACACTCATTTTGAATTCATATCCTAAAGCTTCTATGTCATGTATCAGTAAAATAATTAGTATTTTATTATTCATTTATTACTAGCAATGTATGTTACTGAGCAACAAAGAACTTTCTCAAAATATCCATTTAAAATCAGAATATTACTTTTTTTAACCACATGTTTATTATTTAAAAGAATCCAAGATAGATAATGTTTGTGAATTTGTACCCCCATAATATTCTGAAATTAAAAAAAAGAAAAATAAATAAAAACTGTAGTATAATCCTTAGCAATAGATATGTTTTATGAAAATTGAGATAAAAATACTGTAAGACTATTACTTTTAAGTAATATTTTTAAGTAATAGTACATATGAGCTTTATAAAACATGTGATTTTGAATGTCTAACCCAGTATCTTTGTTAATTTAGAATTATATGAAATGGTATGTTTGGGTTTGATGTATATAATGAAACCAGAGGGTTGTAAAAAGAAAAAAACCCTAAGCCATATGAATATGAAATATATGCAGCTGTTTTGGCTGCATTGATAGAAAAGACCAGCATCATGGGCAGTCCAAACAATAGTTACTTTGGAATAATTTATACCTGAAGTTCATCCAAAATTGCATTTTTATGTAAATTCACACACTCTCGTTCTTTCCTGTGTACCTGATCCTGACACCTTCAAAATCAGCCCTGTTGTCAGTGGCTAACTTATAGTTTGGTGGTGGATAAGAGGGAGAAGATAGCCTACATTGAAATAATTTTACTTTAAAATCTTATTTAAATTAATTCACAGGGCTTAATTTCAAGGGACAAATACAGTGTCATTATACCTGACATGCAGAACAAGTAAAAAAATGAAATAACAAAATACAGAATTACATCAGTATATAGGAAATATTCAATTTAAAATAAAACTGTTTCCTATTGGATATCTTCATTACTTTACACAAAGTATTTTTGTGAAGAAACCTAGCCACCAGGCTTTTTTTTTGACTCTCTCAGATTGGTCTATCCATAGGCATGGGTATCATCAGCTCGCTTACCTGCGGTAGCTCTGATTTCCATTAACTTAAGCTAGATCTTCATGCTTATGAAGGGTAGATGCTTGGGGGTGTTTTCTTCATGTCCCTTTCTCCTTACCGTTGGCAACTCTCAAATTAAAATCTCAGCATTTGCTTACCACTGCTATACACCTCTATGGTAAAGTGTTAAAGCCATGCTTAACTCAGATTGTATGCTTTCAGTCTTTAAAATGTCTGTCTTTGTACTGATAGCTATCACTGTAAATCAGTCTTTAAAATATAATTTGTTAAAACTTAAGGGTAACAGTTTACAGGAGATACAAACATTGCTGAGAACATTTGTTATTAAATAGAAATAGTAAGTATTACTTTTAAAAAATGTGATTTTTTGAATATTGTTCAGAACTACCATGCACTGCTCTAGACAAGGTGTTGCTTGCCTGTAATCCTAGCTACTTGGGAGGCTAAGGTGGGAGGATCACTTGAGCCCAGGAGCTCAAGGCTATAATGTGCTGTGATTGTGCCTGTAACTAATCACTGCATTCCAACCTGCGCAAGTAGGGAGACCTCATCTCTTTTAAAAAAAAAAAAAAGTATGCTCTTGTTAATAAGCTTTTAAAATATTTCAATGGTGCAAAGAAATATTAAGAAACTTAAATTCGATGAAATATATCTAACCTTTATTTATTACCTATGATAGTAGTTCCTGTTTTCTTTAACTCTCCATACTATCCAAGATCAAAGAATTGTTTTTGTAAAAGTTTTTTCCTTAAAACGCTATTTTACAAAATTGATCATGATCTTTAAAATCTTTTTTTTGCAATCTACAGCATTTATTTATTAAAAAATACAGGTGGATAACTTGTGTACACAGTTCTTTCCCTATAAATCTATCCCTTGTGCTTCAGTTGAAATTGCATTTATGAAACTTTATTATATATGGGAAATATGATTGGAAAGATACTATTTTTACAATTTCTTCATCTGCTAGTCTGGATGTGTTTTTTTTCCTTCTTCAGCATCATTTAAACTGTTTAATATACATATTCTCACAAATCAGGAGTTATCATCCACCTTATCTTTAAAAATATTTTTTATTAAAATCCTTTGTATTTATTAATAATTATAAGGAAAAATGTTACAATTCATATTTGAGGCACTGTTCAAATTAGGTAGCTCATATTCCTTTTTGTCTTATAGGACTTGCAGATTTCTGTATTATGGATCTAAACGAATCCATGCTTTTAAAAAGTAGAATTTCTTTGGCAGTAACAACTTAAAAAAAGAAAGTATTAATTTATAACTATAACATGAGCATATTGTCATGTTAATAACATATACTTTGCCCCCTTTAATTCTACATTTTAAAGAAAAACTCTTAGTACTATTTGCTTATTTTCTGCATGAAATATACTGCAGGTGAACCAGGGTGGTGTTAGTCATGGCTACACACTGTGGAAAAGACGTCATTTACTTAGATCTTAATTTATATATGTGTGATATTGAAGCAACCTATCATAGATTCTTCATAGACTCTTTATTCTCCCACCATAAATAATGAGAGATGTTACATATGAATTTAAATGGATTTGTTTTTGTAGGTGGGCTGCTATATAAAATTTGATGGGGTGCTTCCATTAAAAAAAAAAAAGGCATGCTAAATTTGGTCCCTAATTTGAAGAGAATATACACCAACTTTCATGCATTTCTGAATTGGCATGGTTTTATTTAGTGTTTAACTTTATCTGAATGTCATAAAACACCATTTACTTTGCCATTTTGGATGTTAATGAGTAACACGTTGTAGTTTTGATTGTTTTGCTCACTGCAGGTGACCAACTGAGTGCCATATTGAATTCCATTCAGTCACGACCCAATCTCCCAGCTCCTTCCATCTTTGATCAAGCTGCAAAACCTCCCTCTTCCCTAGTCCACAGCCCATTTGTGTTCGGACAGCCCCTTCCCTTCCAGCAGCCTCAGCTTCAGAGTAAGTCTGCCAAGCCTTACTTGCCTCATCAAGCATTTCTGAAGCTTTGTTCTGAGTTGTTTATCAGTTACTAATTAGTTATCAACTCACCTGACTGGTTTTATTTAATTAGTATGTTCTCCCCTCCCACATTTTTGAAGTTTTTAAGCTATTCTGAGCTGGCCTTCTGCAGCTTATAGTCACACATTTTTTTATTAAGTGTAAAATAATGAGTGTTCTGCTTTCTAGTCTAATTTCAGCATAAGAAAATACATTCTACAAGACATATTGTTAAGAAAAACAGTTTTGATTTAAATTTTTTTTTTTATTATGAATGAATATGGTAAGCATCAGTTACAAGGATAACTTTCATTTCTTTATATTGGATTTTTGTTACTTTGAGATGCCCCAAAAGAATAAAGCTATTTCACTATACCAATGGGTAAAAGGGAGACTGTATTTGCTTGGCAGGTTTATTTGTTTCTTCTAAGTAAATTTTATATCTGTTTAATGTATAGCAATTTAGGTTTTCAAATTTTTTCAAATTGTTGTTTCCTCTCTTTATTTTGCTGTTGTTTTTGTTCCTAGTACCTAATCATTTGATTCCAGCTCTGCCTTTTAGGATTGCTAGCCCTTCATTCATGATAGTAACTTACACTGGTTTGGAAAAGAGACCCAAACAAATTACACTTAACTAAGTGTTCTTTTTTCTTAATAACCTCCTGAGCCTTCTACATAAACTTCTCAAAGCTCCTTACAATGTGACAACAATGTGCTCTTCTTGGCATTCAGTTCTCATGTTGACTGTATAATGTTTAAGCACACACTGAGTGAGATAGTTTATGAAAGTTTCATATTGTACACCATTGTTTGGATTGAAATGCATGACCTCTTTGCTGTGATGAAGTACTTTCACACTTAAGTCTAAGTTATTTTTCTACAAAAATATTTTGATAACTGTTATTAGAATTACTTAAGAGAATGTTAACTGGTTTAGTTTTTACTAAGAACCAGAGTAGTATATAGCTTCCAAATGATGTTATTCATTACTACATTATTATACACCTTAGGTAAAGAGAATACAAGAGCATAAACTTTTCTGGATCTGTACTATACATTAGGGAAGTTTAATGAAATTAGTTTAGAAATATAAATATTATCAATTTCTAGTTTATCATCATCTCTATTCTCATAAGAGAAGAATTTTAAGGAAACGAGATCGTATCACATGTGAAATAGTTTTTTCCTTTCATGATAAAATATTATTTCGGAAGAATGAAAGAGAAGTAAGGACTTAGTTTATTATGGAGCAACAGACTTTTTACATTTAGATGTAATACCCAGGTTGCAGGAAATTTTAAAAGTAAAGATAAGCAAAAAAGAGAAATTGCCCATGGCAGAGCAGACAAAAGAACTAAGAAGTCAGGACTTTATTATTCTCCTACAGGGTCATTGCAAGTCTTCACAAAAACAAGTGTAATTACTATTTTTATCTTATCAAGTTTAATAGAATATTTCAAAACAAACTATACAGATCATAATAAAATTTGATTTGCCTCTTTTAGGAGATAACAGGTTTCCAAGTGACATTGTGTCAATATAATTTTATGCGTATTGTGTATAAGTGTTATCAATACCACATTTCCTTTACCACCACAGTCCTGGAACAATTTGAAATCATGGTCTAGATATGTCTCAATTACCAATTTTCTGAATCATTACTTGCCCATACTCCAACAATGAGAATTAGATCTTTTTTAAAACTTGTTACTCTCAGCAGAATATTACTGAAGTTTG